AATGTTTGGGGTTCAGTGTTACATGAATAAATAAATGAATGGAAAAATGGAGTTTTAGGTGGGCCTCCAGGAAGTGGACCAGGGTCTGAGGTTCTCCTGGAAGGCTTACATGTGGTTAACATCTTAGAATTGGGGCCAGGTGCAGTGGCTCAGGACAGTAATCCCAGTGCTTTGGGAGGTTGAGGCGGAAGGACTGCTTGAGGCAGGGAGTTTCAGACCAGCCTGGGCAACAGAGTGAGACTCTGTCTCTACAAAATTATAAAAATAAAATAAAATAAATTAGTCAGGCATGGTCATGTGTTCCTGTAGTCCCAGCTACTTGGGAGGATGCCACGAACCCAGGAGTTCAAGGATGCAGTGAGCTATGATTGTGCCACTGTACTCCAGCCTGGGTGACAAAGCAAGACCCTGTCTCCGGAAAAGTTTTAAAAAATCTTAGAATTGGGATGGAAGGCAACAGAGAGACAAGCTGGTCTCGGGTAGGAATAAGGACTGATGGTGATCAGTACCAACTTGGCTGCCGTCTTGCCTTACGACTGGAATTATGTAACTCTTTGGACTGTGGTTGTTTTATCCCTAAAATGAGAGCAACCTCAAGATTTCTTGCAGATTTAGAGTTCTAGGATTCTCCAGAAACATTTACCCCCAAAACGAATAAAATCAGATCCTTCCATAAAAGAATTATGACACCACCAGATTTGTTCCCTGCTCTTTCTCTTCTTGGACTGCCTCTTCTTGGTTTCCCTTGGAACTGGATTTGTCTTTTCTTGTTCAAGAATCTATAGTGGCTCCCAATTGCCTGTCACATCTAATGTGCCTTCCTTTCCTTGGCTTTCAAAAAATACACAGTCTGTGCACAGCCCACAAATCTCCCTGACATGCGTCCCAGCACACAGCAGTGGAAATCCTCCACTCCAGTGAGGCTGTTTCCTCTCTGCTCCGACTTCCCTTCAGACCTTTACGTGTAGTTCCCTCATGAAGTGCCCCTTCCTGTTCCATTTATGATATCTCAATCTTCCTGATGTGATAAAGTTTCCAATTGGAGCCAAATTTAATTTGGTTTTGAACAGAACATCCCAAACAAGGACTTACTCTAGGAAAAAAAAAAAAATTACTCATATTTCCAGATTCAAAACAAACTCTGTGACCCTCTTGATTAATTTCCTTCCAGTCTTTTTTCTTTGGAGATCTGAGCAGAATTTTAAAGATGGACTCCACAACTTACACAGCCATCACCTTTGGTTGGCTGGACGTGGAGGTTGCTTCTAATCTTTCACCATAATCTGCATGTCGTGACGAACATCCTGTAACTAAATCTTTTTATATGTCTTTAATTATTTCCTTGAGCTAAATTCCTAACAGGTGAATCATCGGGATTAAAGGCTCTTTGATGATGGGGGTGTAGGGTTGGAGGAAGAGGAACCATGCCGTGATCTAAATCCTTCTGTCAGTCCACGGGGCACACAAAGTGAGAAAGTGACAACCTCCGTCTTTTTCTTTGGAAACCGGCTGGTTGAGTGGGTGTCCCAGCACCTTTGCATCCCTGCCTATCATTTTCCTGCCCAACATCAAGTTTCTAAGACTTCTAGAAGGTTCTTCAAAGGCAATAGGTAATGGAAAAGAAACAGCCAGCATAGCTTTAGTCGATGGCAACATTTGCCGCGCAGTGGCTGAGGATTCTGGAGCTGAGTCTCTGCTTTGTCTGTTCCCTCCATTATCCCCACCCCCAAACCCCCCCATCCCCCACTCCTGGGTTGATGGACTATGGCACTCGGACAGACACGTGTGATTGACTGTGGTATTAAGAAAATATGTATAACACAATGTTTTTTAGCTTTTTCCAGAGATATTTATATCACACAAATGGCATGTTGGTTTCTTTCTTTCTTTTTTTTTTTTCTTCTCAACCACTAAGAATGAATAAATCAATTGTCTTAATCAGGCTAATGGAGAGTGCATGGGCTAGAAAGATAGGTGGGAGGGGCTCTTCGTCTGAGCCTGCTGCTCCCTTAGCAGGGGAAGGGGAGCCTGGCAAAGTTCCGTCATATCTCTGGGCCTCTGTTTCCCTGTCTTTGGGATGGGCATCTGACCGCTCATGACTTTGCAGGATAAAGATTGTCAGAAGCATTTGGAGTTCCTTGGAAGAAAGTAGCTGCATGAATTTTTAATCCTCTATTTTCAGCTCTTTGGAGCCATGTGTAGGAGCAGGGCTGTAAACACAGAGAACTCACCGCTACATTCTAGTTTATAAGGTTTTTGTCTCACAATCCCACAGACCTGACCTTAAGAACGACTCAAAATGTGGGTGAAACGCAGTTTGTTGTGGTCGTCGTTATTACATAAAAATTAATGGCTTGGCAAACACAAGGATCATCCTGTCACGCTGAGGTTATGTTTACACCAAGCAAATATATTTCAAGGTTCCTGGAGCTTCAGCAGCACTGCAAGGCAGAATCAACACCATTCCCAGGCAAGACTCAGAATCCGGTGCCAGATTCACCCTGGTTCCAGAGGGAGACGTTAGTGAGTATTAATTCTGCAACTAGAATGCCATCCATTTCCAAATTCCTTACGGCTGAAGCAGGTTTTTTTTGTTTTTGAGACAGAGTTTTTGCTCTGTCGCCCAGGCTGGAGTGCAGTGGCACGATCTCAGCTCACTGCAACCTCCATCTCCCAGGATCAAGCAAATTCTCCTGCCTCAGCCTCCCAAGTAGCTGGGACTACAGGCGCACACCACCACACCTGGCTAATTTTTGTAGTTTAGTAAAGACAGGGTTTCACCATATTGGTCAGGCTGGTCTCAAACTCCTGACCTCAGGCGATCCACCCCCCTTGGCCCAGAGTGCTGGGATTATAAGCATGAGTCTATAATCATGCATGTCTGGTGCAAACATTTTTTTTTAAATGGAAAATAACAAGTGTTGGTTGGCAAGTATGTGGAAAATTGGAGCCCTGGTGCACTGCTGGTGAAAATGTAAAATGGGACAGTCACTGTAGAAAACAGTGTGGCAGTTCCTTGACAAGCTAAACACAGAGTTACTGGAGGACCTACTAGTTCCACTCCTAAGTATGTACCCCAAGCAATTGAAAACAAAGGTTCAGGCCAGGCGCGGTGGCTCACACCTGTAGTCCCAGCACGTTGAGAGGCCTGGGCAGGGGAATCAGGAGCTGAGGTCCTGATCGAGGTCAGGAGTTCGAGACCAGCCTGGCCAACATGGCAAAACCCCATCTCTCAGAAAATACAAAAATTAGCCAGGCGTGATGGCGCACTCCTGTAATCCCAGCTACTCGGGAGGCTGAGGCAGGAGAATCGCTTGAACTCAGGAGATGGAGGTTGCAGTGAGCTGAGATTGTGCCACTGAATTCCAGCCTGGGGAACAGAGAGAGATTCTGCCTCCAAAAAATAGATAAATAAATACATACATGCATATATTCAGTGAAATACATACACACATTCATTTTTACATTCAATGAAAACGTATCCACAAATGTTCATAGAGCACTCTTATTCATGATAGCCAAAAGGTGGAAACAAGCCAAATGACCACTAGCTAGTGAACGGACCAACAAAATGTGGTGCATCCAGGCAATAAGAAGAAAGGAAGCACTGGCACGAGCTACAGCATGGATGAGCCTTGAACACATGATGCTGGGTGGGAGAAGCAGACATAAAGGTCACACATTGTGGGATTCCACTTACATGAAATATCCAGAATGGGCAATCCATAGAGACAGAGAGAAGATTGGCAGCTGCCAGAGGCCAGTAGGACAGCAGAATGGGAAGTGACTGCTAATGGGTACTGAGATTCTGTTTGGGGTGATGGAAAACTTCTGGACCTCGCCAGGCACGGTGGCTCACCCCTGTAATCCCAGCACTCTGGGAGGCCAAGGTGGGTGGATCACCTGAGTTCAAGACTACCCTGGGCAACATGATGAGATTTGATGTCTACAAAAATAAAAATAAAAATTAGCTGGGCATGGGGGCAAGCACCTGTGGTACCAGCTACTCAAGAAGCTGAGGCAGGAGGATTGCTTGTGTCCAGGAATTCAAGGCTGCAGTGAGCTATGATCACACCACTGCACTCCAGCCTGGGCAACAGAGGGAGACCACGTCTTAAAAAAAAAAAGAGGGAGACCACGTCTTAAAAAAAAAAAAAAAAAAAAAAAAGGCACTAGAGAGACAGTTGATGCAGGATATGGATGGTGACCATCATCATCATGTTTGCTGGTGGGGAGTGGACGGGAGTGGGAATGGCATTAAGAGGAAGGCCAGTGATGAGGCGGGCACAGTGGTCCAGGAGGGAGATGCAGGTGGCCTGGACCAGGGGGCACAAAGTAAGCCACGTGTGTCAGGCAAAACCAAGAGGGCTTAGTGAGGATCTGGATGCACAATTATTCAATATAGACTCAACTCTGCCCCTCCTATTCAGCACTTGTATGCACTTATGGATGGGAGGGGAGTGTTGGAGGGAGAAAGTATATGCTCTCATAGGGATGTCGAAGGACAGATCAGAAGACCCCTGGCTTCAAATTTTGACTTTTTCATTGCCAGATCCCGAGAGAGTAACTTCGTTTCTTTGTGCCTCAGTTCCTTCCCCTGTAAAATCAAGGCCCCAACAGGCACGTCATAGGTCGTTGTGAGACGGGACAACACCACCTGCCCTGGCTACCTCCTAGGGTTCTTGGGAGACCCAAGCGAGCTGTCAATTCTTCAAGGACAACACAGATCACGTTGCTGGGCTGATGTCATTGCTTTTGGAAAGCAGGTCCCTTGAATCCCTTGAACAGATTCTCCCAAAGCAGTGACTTTAGGAGCATCTCGAAGGCGACACATTCCAGTTGTTAAGGCTGCGATGAAATAGCAGAAGACTCTGGGAAGCAGCGTGCGACGAGTAGCAAAGTAGCCCCTAAGGCTCTTTCTTCTGTGCTCGCCCCGCCCACTCCCGCGTGGGCCCCGCCCCGACTAAGCTCCACTCAGTTCCCGCCCCCGATGTTAGCGCAGGCCACGCCCCCTCATCTCCCAGCTTCTGGGTCCGAGGCTCCCACCTGCGCTAAGCGCTTGGTACCAGGGAGGGAATGGGAGGACGCTTGCAGGGTAGGGAGGCGGGGGCTGGAAATTGGCAGGGTGAGAACTGGGAAACTAGTCTGAGATGCAGCCCTCCTTGTCCCCCTTCTTCATTCACCCCCTTGTTGAGGCCCTTGGCTTTTGCATAATGTAAGTACTTATTTAATGCGTGTGCTGGCTCGAGAGCTCTGCATTTGTCTTTCTGTCCTTCATATGCCAGTGTACCTCCGCCTTGTGTCTGTCTAGGTGGGAGCTCCTGGAAAGGAGGGTGCTTTCCCAGCAGCTCCTGTTCGACCCCCAGCCCCGGGCCAAGGGCACAGAGAGAGAGAGACAGAGAGGCTGGGGCTGCGGTGGGGGTGGGGAGGTGGGAGCTGGGGCGGGGCGGGGGGAGCGCGGGGGAGGAATGAGAGCACCATATGACAGGCTTGTGGAACCACATCTGATGCCAACTTGGATGCTGTCCTTTTTCTCCAATAAAAGGAACTTTTCACTTGTTTTTCAGACACCCTTTTAAAAAATGTATTTAAAGAGGCTGGTTCCTATCCATCCGACTGGAGGCATCTCAGTGCAAGAGCAAAGCTAAGTCCTGCACACACACCTCCCCTCCTCGTCCTCCTCCTCCTCCCCCCAGGTTTTCCCGAATGTATCTACTCCGGTTACAACTGGACGCGGCCCCTCCCCCACCTGCCTCCCCCCTTCCTCCCCTCGATCGTGGAGGGAGCATTCTCTGTGCCTTCCCAAGTCCCCGTGGGGGACCTTCTATGTTGGAGTGGGGTGAGGGGGGGAGGGTCATATAACGAAGGCCAGAATGAACAAATTAGATAATCAAAAGAATTATAGTAATTGCTTTCACTTTCCCCAGGCCGCTCAGCGGATTCTCTCCCCCGCCCCTCCCCTGGTTTTTCTGTCTGTCGGGAATACTCGGTCTTTCCGACCCCCTCCCCTCCCCCAGGTTCCTCCTCTCCTCTCCCCTCGTTCGCGCGTTCCCTCTCTTCCTCCGTTTTCTGGTGTGCTGGAACGTTCAGTGGAATATGATGAATGATCACCTGTCACAGCTTGTTTATTATAATGCAGGCAATCAATTACACATCCCCAACGCTGGCCGGCCCGCAGGAAATTTATATGCTCAGCACAAACCAATGTGAAAATGGAATCTCATTTGCCAAATGTCTTTCTCCCCGTACAGCACGATGATTACAGTCTGTGTTTGTTCCAACAGTCGTGTACAACTGACAGTGCTATCATTTACTGCCTGGCTCAGGTCACGTTACTCTAAGGCTTCATTTATTGTGTTACGAAGGGCAGCACAGGAAAAGGACAAGGGTGTCTGTCAGGGATGGCACCGTGTTAAAAAGTGGGCGTGCAAGGGCCGTATTCCTGGGCCAGCCGCTACAACCTCAGCCCCTGGGCCCTTACCTCCGTATCCTCTCCCAGCATCCAGCTACCCAGACTCCAAGGCCCCTGCCGGGAGCCAGCTCTAGGTACCAGGAGCTCCACAGGTCCCAGAATCGAGGTGGATCAGAGTTCCAATTTTGGTTCTGCTACTGTCGAATTGCGTGCAGCAGGGACTCAATCTCTTCATCTGGGAAATGGGAGTTTTAACAGCCCTTGGCAGGAGTATTGTGATCTCTGGGATGTCAGACGCGTTGATGAATGTTGGTTCCCGGGACTTCGGAAAGAGGTCCCGTTGAAAGAGTTGTGAATTGGAATTCACACTGTATATTAAAATCTCCCCCAATCTTCACCTCTGAGACATGGCTGTCTCAAAACTGTTTTGTTTCCCTTCCTGGTGGAATTTTGTACTTCTATGTACTCTGTACCAGCAGGTAGAGTGGCTTTGAACAAATAAAATGGCCACCTTGCTCCACTGTTCTTTCTTTGTAAAAAACGGCATAGCAATCTTGGCCTTTCTAGCTGTGTGACCTCAGGCTGGTCAATCCCTCCTCCTCTCTAAGCCTTGGATTCTTCCCCTGAGAAGTAAAGAAAATAACTCCTAAACTGCCTCCCTAGGCTTGCCGGCAGGATCCAAGGTGTCCAGAGATGAAGAAAAAAAAAAAAAAAAAAGCCAAGTGAACGGGAAAGTGAGGCTGTCACTGCTGAGTGGCATCCTGTTTTCACCCAGAGTTCTGCTACACAAAATGTTGACCCAAATTTGTACCCCCACAACACTTGGTGTCAAGTGGGAGCTCAGAAACTGAGGGGCAGGCAGATGCTTTTGTGTGTATTAGGTTGTCTTTTATTGTATTGTATAGTGACTTTTTTTTTTTTTGAGATGGAGTCTTGCTCTATTGCCCAGGCTGGAGTGCAGTGGCACGATCTTGGCTCACTGCAACCTCCACCTCCTGAGTTCAAGCAATTCTCCTACCTTGGCCTCTCAAGTAGCTGGGATTACAGGTGCGCACTACCATGCCTGGCTAATTTTTGTATTTTTAGTAAAGACAGGGTTTCACCGTGTTGGCCAGGCTGATCTCGAACTCTTGACCTCAACTGATCCACCCGCCTTGGCCTCCCAAAGTACTGGAATTACAGACTTGAACCACCGTGCCCAGCCTGTACTATATATTTCTTTATTGTTTGACATGCATATTTGTTTAATGGCCCTCTGCTCCGCCAGTATGGAAGCTCCAAAAGGAAAGATACCAGATTGATCTTGATCACCTCTGCCTCCCCAGCACCTAGCCTTCCTTGGCACATCGTAAGTGCTCAGTAAATATTTGTGGCTTTAATGGATGAATGAATGAATGACTACATGGTCAAACTCCGTACTAGGGCAATCTCTGTGGTGCAGTGGGTAGGCCCTAGTGAATGGATATTTAAAGGATATCTTACTATTCCTCATCCCCCAGAGTCAGACTGTGCCACATGCACCCAACCTTGCCTGGGGTCATTCATCCTACATGTACTCAGATCGCGTGAACTGGTGATGGGCCACCCATGTGCCTGCCTGGAGACTCCTATTCATCCCTCAGATCAACATCCCCCAATAAACTCCCAGTCACTCTGACATCCCTTGTTGGTTTGTAATCTCTGCCTCTCTCTAGACCATCAGCTCCTATGCACAGGCGGCTATGCCTTTTTCATATTTGGGTCCCCAAAATGCACAGCGCAGTACCAACCTCAAAACAAGTGCTTTTTAATCAGTCAATCAGTTGACAGAGATCATCTTTTCTCAGCACTGATGTATGGACTACAACTTAGAATTCCATTAAAGCACCTGGGGTCAATAAAAAAAGTGATTCAAGTTTATATATCTTTTTTGAGACAGAGTATCATTCTGTCACCCAGGCTGGAGTGCAGTGGTGTGATCTCAGCTCACTGCAACCTCTGCCTCTGGGGTTCAAGCAGTTCTCACTCATGCCTCAGCGTCCTGAGTAGCTGGGCGAGTGCCAGCACACCCGGGCTAATTTTTGTATTTTTAGTAGGGACGGGGTTTCGCCATGTTGGCCAGACTGGTCTCGAACTCCTGGCCTCAAGTGATCCACCCACTTCAGCCTCCCAAAGTGCTGAGATTACAGGCATTTGATCACTGCACCCAGGTGAGCCACTGCACCCAGCCAAGTTCATATTCTAAAAGTGAAACATTAATGCTGCATTGTGTATTTTTTGGTCAATTGCTTCAGATATGTGGAAGGGATTTCTTTGTATATGTGTAATTATTCGTCACCATGATGATAATAACGAGGGTGACAGCACAGAGCTATGCCTCCCCAGCAAGCATGGGCTGGGCAGGGCCGGGTATTCCCTTCGCTGACTTGCTTCACTAGTTGACTAACAGACCTTATTCCCGGGCCCGAGCTGATGATATCCTGCCAACGCCAGCTTCCCAACATGGAGGGGACGCAAGAGCGAGCGCCATGGGATCCTGGGGGAAAAGCAGCCTGTGTTTGCTGCTGCTTTGACAGTTGAGGCTCCGAGAGGGACTGGCAAACAATGGGAAACGAAACATTTGAGTGGTTGCAAAAAATTCCATGGGAAATCCCCCCTGGTGGTATTTATGTGCGAAGGCTGTGACAAGGAGAGCGCAGGGCTTTCGATTTCAAGGGTTCCTGAGCAGACCACAATGGCCTTCCAAGATGGCAATCCCTGGGAACAGCTCTCTCGGCCACAAAAGCCTAGTTTGTCTGTCCAGGGAAGATCTGGTCGCATGCATCAAGTTGGCCATGAGCTGCAATGGCTTGTTTGGGGCATGACCCACATTTATAGGGTCTGGGCCTCTGAACCTTCTGCTTCTAAGACAGTTCTATCTCAATTGTCCCTCTGGTTTCCCCTGGCCTCGAGAACCTGGGGCTAATAGGGGCTGAGGGGTTTCCCTCGGGCTCAGCCTCCATATCGGAACTGTGGGAACCTCAGCCTCCATCAGACCCCTCCCCATTTTCTGGTCAGCATGTGGCCTCCTCCTGTTTTCTCCATTCCCATTGGTAATGGATATTTATTTAACTTTTACTCCCCCTCCACTCTCATTTAGAAAAGAAAGTGAACTGATATTAACCAATCCTTGTTTTGCCTTCTTTAACACTAACACATATGCAAAATACTTTCCACTATTGATAATATCTTATTGCTGCTGTGATATATGTGCGTAGATGTACAGATCTGCTTAAAGGTAAGGTTTATATAGATTTTTAGAGACACTTGGTAAATGAGAAAATGGAAACTGAAAGAGGTTAAATAAACTGCCCGTGTGTATTGGTCATGAGGTTTCGGTTGCAAAGTGACAAAATCCTGACTTAGATGAACTTAAGCCAGGTGGAAAATGTATGTTGTATTATTTGAGAAGCCAGGGCTGGATAAGCTTCAGGCATGGCTGGATCCAGGCCCTCAATTAAGTCTTTAGGAATTTCCCTCTCTCTAGCTTTTTGGTTTTGCTTTTCCCTGTATTGGTTTCATGTTTAGATTGGCTTGCTTCGCCTGTTTTACGTCTTTCCAGAGTCCAATCCAGCCTTTTTCCTGGTTGCCTCTGTAAAAGTCCTAGGGTTAGATTTAGTGTACTCTGATAGGTTCAGCTGCCCATTGCTGAACCAGCGACTCTGGCAACAGGGATGGACTTACCTAAGTGCCCAGGTTCCAGTCACTGCTGAAGCCCGGCCAGACCACCTGGACAGAGTAAGAGTGAGTGGTTCCCCCAAAGAAAACTGGGGTGCTCTTACCGGAAGAAGGAGGAATCGACAAAAAGACCTGATGTCCTAAACTCCTGTGTCACACTGTCACTAATGGGCAGGCAGACCTGTACAGCAGCTCTCCTCTGCATCTTCGTGCTGCTGGAGGCCACCACCGGGACCACCTCCCTCCTCCGTGCTTTATCCTGCCCTGTGCCTCCAGCCCTGCCCCTGCTGCAGGGATTCAGTCTTGTCGATCATTTTCAAAATGTGCGGGAGGGAGGAAGCCAGTGGAAGAGAGCAGGTGGCTGGGTGACCTGTGGCTATGGGATTCCTCTCCTCTATTTCAACCACCCGGCAATTCTTGTGTCTCTCTGTAGATTCAGTTTCCTTGTACACTTTTATTTAAACAAAGGACACCCCAGATTTTTTAAACTTGCAAATCAGCAGTTTTTCTGGAATCTATGTCTACTTACCCTAAATGAAGGAACAATAGCTCAGAAAGAGGCAGGAAACTGACAATGCGTCAAATGAGTGCCAAGAGCATCTGAGAAACCACACCTCCCAATTCCCATCTCTTGCCCTTTGCACTCGCAGCCTTGCAGATGGGGTCAAGATTTGTGGGCTTCTGATTTATTGGCCAAGGATGCAGACCTTAACATGTAAGTGGAGCAGCTTCCCATAGAAGAGAAGGAAAAGGATACCTTTGCACAGTTTTTTTCTAGTCTCCGGGTTCCCTACCCCCAGGGCAGGCAGCCTCTGGGGACTCCCTGTAGGTAGGATCCCGCCAGAATGGAGAAAAACAGCCCGATTCCTGTTACTCCCTCCTGGTCCTGGGAACTTACATCACCGTTCCAGGAGAACTTACATGAGCAAGCCATGTGCTTCCGTTTAGGAGGATGTTTACAAACCACTGTTCTGTCCTCTGAGTGTCTGGAAAGCTAGTGTCTGTGTACCAGGCCCTGCCATGCATTTCAAACACAGCTTTCTGCTGCACTGATCAGTGCTAATCCTCATAGCTAACATTTCTGAGCACTTCCAGCATTCCTGGAACTGTATCGTTTCATTGAATCTTCCCAACAACCCGATACCATAGGTAGCAGTATTGTTTTCATTTTATAGCTGCAAAAAAATGAAGGTGCAGAAAGGTGAATGAATTTGTCTGAGGTCCATCAGCCAGGTTCAAACCCAGGCAGTCAGAGTCAAGAGCATGAGCTAGATGCCACAGTACGTTGCTACGCTTAGATGCACCAGGAAAGCTTTGGACAAGGAAGATGTAGGTTGTTGCCAGCACCTATGCACAGACAGACAGAAAGTCCTCTGCTTCCTTCAGGCCCTTCCTTCCACTTCCCCGGGGCTTCCAGCTGAGCCTGCATTTTTCTTTGACTTCCCCCTCTTGCCTGGCATTTTCAGCAAACGCACACAGGGGATTACGGGGGGAAAACTATCATATTACCAAGTGGACATGGCTCCTAAGATGCCAACTGAACACAGGTAAGTCGGGTAAGGAAAAGCACACAGTCTCATTACTTAGACTACCTCGCAGCCGTTTATTGAATTAGTGTGATTCTTAACATCTTCAACTTGGATCTCCTCCAGGCCAGCCAGCTGGTGCATTCAGTTCGACTCAGCTCGCCTTAACTCAATTAACTAAGCCAGGCTGAGCCGGGCTGAGCTGAACTCAACAAGTTTTTCTTAAGCACTGAGCTGGCTGAAGGGGGAAAAAAAAAACCAACAAAGGACAGCAAGACGCTGACTTGGCTCTTAAAAGAGTTGTCTTGCGCGCTGAGTGGATAATATGGTGCCGTATTTTCTAAGTATCACCTTCGTGGCTTTTGCCATACCCGCGCTCCCTCTGTGCTATTATTTACTTCATATTTTTCTTTAAACAAATTCACTTCCCTTTTCAAACTTAATTTTTTAAATTATTGAGGTGAAGTTGACGTACCATAAAATTAACCATTTTAAAGTGAATTCTTAGATCATGATGTTCATCTGAAGAAAAAAGTAAAAATAAAGTGAATTCAGTGGCGTTTAGTACTTTATAGTGTTGGGTGACCATCACCTTTATCTAACTCTAAGACATTTTCATTACGTCAATATGAAACTCCATAACCTTTAAGCAGTCACACCCCATCCCCTCCTTCCCGACAACCCCTGGTTGTCATCAGCCTGCTTTCTGTTTCTATGATTTACCTATTCCGGATGTTTCATGTAAGTGGAATCCTACAGTATCCTTGTGTTTCTGGATTATTTTACTTAGCATAATGTCTTTAAGGTCCATCCATGTTGTAGCATGAATCCGTGTTTCTTCATTCCTTTTCATGACTAAATGATATTCCATTGTGTGGATAGACACAACTTGTCTACCTACACACCCATTCATTGATGGACATTCAAGCATTTCCATCTTTTGGCTATTGTGATTAGTGCTGTTAAGTACATTTATTTTAGTTTAGTTTAGTTTAGTTTTAGTTTTTGAGATGGAGTCTTGCTCTGTCTTCCAGGCTGGAGTGCAGTGGCATGATTTTGGCTCGCTGCAAACTCCACCTCCTGGGTTCAAGCAGTCCTCCTACCTCAGCCTCAAGTAGCTGGGATTACAAGTGTCTGCCATCACGCCTGACTAATTTTTGTATTTTCAGTAGAGATGGGGTTCCTCCATGTTGGCCAGGCTGGTCTCAAACTCCTGACCTCAAGTGATCCACCTGCCTCGGCCTCCCAAAGTACAGGGATTACAGACATGAGCCACTGGGCCTGGCCCAGATAAGTTTATTTTAAAAGGAAATTCTCCATCACTACAGTAAGTGGGAAGCCAACATTTTTATAATACAAAATAAAATACATACATAACCATTAGAAGGAAAAATTTCACCTTTGTAGGTCATAAAAATCATCTTGTGAACTATCAGA